ATCTGTCTGGTCCTCCCTTTCTTGGACTGTACTGCGGTCTGTGGATTTTCCTACCCAATCCCCCTTCCTTCTCTCTCTCCACAGTTGTCAGAGCTTCACGATAGCCCTATTCAGGAGTGGCCCTATGATGGCGGAGCCGGAAAATCTTTCTTTTCTTTTTTCTTTTTCTTTGAGATGGAGTCTCGCTCTTGTCGCCCAGCCTGGAGTGCAGTGGCGCGATCTCAACTCGCTGCAACCTCCGCCTCTCAAATTCAAGCAATTCTCCTCTCTCAGCCTCCTGAGTAGCTGAGATCACAGGCACATGCCTCCACGCCCAGCTAATTTTTTTTTTTTTTTAGTAGAGATGGGGTTTCACCATGTTGAGCAGGCTGGTTTCTAGCTCCTGACCTTAGATGATCCGCCTGCCTCGGCCTCCCAAAGTGCTGGGATTACAGGCATGAGCCACAGCTACTGACTGGAAAATCTTTCTAATGGGCAGCATGTGAGGGTGCAACTGGCATCTACAATGGAACAAAAAATGGCCCGAGGTGAGAATATATACAGTGGCCAGGAAATAAGGTCTGGGGTAAAGGCCTGTGGATGAACCCAGGGGAGTGGGCACTCCAGGGGAGTATCATTTCCACCTCCCACCTTAATGCCCCCAGAATGCAATCCTCACGGAATTGTCGTAGAACAAGCAAGCAGCCAAGAAGGCTTGGTGGGTTGATAGCTGGCCTTCATCACCAGCCAGCCCAGAGCTGCTGTAACAGGCACAGGGACAGAGGGAGGCTGCAGACAGCCTGCTAGCGTGGACTCCCGGTTATCCGAGGTCAACGGAACCGTCGTTGCCTCTGAATGTCCAACCTGTTTGCAACACAGGCCATTGCTGAGCCCTGAAGTGTCACTGCTCCTTAAGGAGACCAATGGGCCACAGGAGGCCAGTCAACAAGCGGCAGGCTCTGGATGTATTGCTCATCTGTTCCATGAAAATGGATCTGGGCCCTCTTAAGTTGTTTCCCTGGGCCAGCGGGTTCTGAAGCTTTGTCAGGAAAGGGTGATGGAGAAATACTGCAGGAGGAAGAGAGTTTTGCTTCCTGACCAGCGCAGTGCAGACTGCTGGGCAGGAGGGTCTTCCCCGCTTCCCAGCACTGCCCTCACAGAGTTTTGTATCAAGAAGCCTCTAGTGGGACACTTCTCTGTGCAATTTTCTCCAGGACCCCAAAGGGAAGTCCTCTGCCCTCTGGGGACCTGGGGAAAACTGCACAGAGGGCAAATTTCTAGCAACTTCTACCAGCAGAGCACCACAGTGACTTCTCTGCCCTCCACAGTGTCAGCCCAAGGGGTACTGAGGGGGCTCTTCTGTTTTTTGTGGGTTTTTTTGAGACAGGGTCTTGCTCTGTCACCCAGGCTGGTGTGTAGTGGCGCAATCTTGGCTCACTGCAACCTCTGCCTCTCAGGTTCAAGCAATTCTCCTGCCTCAGCTTCAAGATGCCTGCCACCGGTCTGGATAATTTTTGTATTTTTAGTAGAGATGGGGTTTCACCATGTTGGCCAAGCTGATCTTAAACTCTTGACCTCAGGTGATCTGCCCACCTCAGCCTCCCAAAGTGCTGGGATGACAGGCGTGAGCCACTGTGCCCAGCCAGGGCTCTTCTTTGAGCTCTGTGGTTGGTTGTTTGGTTGGTTTTTTGAGACTGAGTCTCGCTCTGTCACCCAGGCTGGAGTGCAGTGGCACCATCTCGGCTCATTACAACCTCTGCCTCCCAGGTTCAAGCGATTCTCCTGCCTCAGCCTCCTGAGTAGCTGGGATTACAGGCACCCGCCACACGCCCAGTGGCTAATTTTTGTATTTTTAGTAGAAACAGGGTTTCACCATGTTGGCCAGGCTGGTCTTCAACTCCTGACCTCAGGTGATCCACCTGCCTCAGCCTCCCAAAGTGCTGGAATTACAGGCGTCAGCCACCGCGCCCAGACAGGGCTCTTCTTTGAGCGCTCAGTCTTAACCCTAGTAGTGCAGGCTACTCCTGTTATCTGCTATTCTTATGCTCAAGTTCTTTTTACTTCCTGCTAGCCAGTCCTTCACTGCTTCAATCTGCTGTAATAATCACTCTTCACATTTAACTTTCCCTGTTCAAATTGCTGTGTGGTTTCTGTGTCACTCCTCGTAGTGACAAATACCTCTTCTAAGCAAGAGTTTGGCTTTCCTGCCTGCAGGGACTCAGACAGCATGACTACTGGGGGCTTATAGAAAGTCTGGTCACTAGGCAAGGTCCCAGTCCAATCAGGTGACTTACTTCCCAGTGAAGGAGACGAAAGAGTGAGCCCCTGGTTGTGGAACCAGCGTCTGTCCACACCCCGCACCATCCATAGGCAGCCAGCCTCATGGAGGGCTTGAATTACCCAGACCCGGTTGAAGGGCCAGGATGGAGTGCTATCCTCAAGGATGTGTGTCACCAGTAGGTTTGGGACCGTGTCTGGGGTCCAGCAGGTGAAATCGGGAGTGGCCCTGCTTTCTATCATTTCCAACAATCTGCTGCAGGATTTAAGGAGAATAGCAGCACTGGAAATCCTGGTCCCAAAGAGGGAGGCTCTTGCCAGGGGACATAGGGTCCCAATATGAGCTACAAACTACATCTTATGCCACAAGGTCCCATTGAGCTACAAACTGTCTGATGCCAGAGCACTTTGAACTCCCTTTGTCCAGGCACCAGGAGGAGGAGACAGAGTTACCTTTTCACAGTAGGGACAGGGAGCAATACAGGTGGCACCCACGTGATCCATTGAGTGTGTGCTGCTATTCCTGTGGGCCGCTGTCGGTGTGAACGCACACGTTCAGCAAGCCTGTCTTAAGAAAGCATCACTCTGCTGCAGTCTGAGATGCCTCCAGCCCAATCCTCTCTCCCCTCTCTCTTACAGGGGTCAGCCTTGCAGCGTGGTCTGAAGGCCATCACTGCCTTCTTTGGCTCCCCACACTTACCTCCACAGGCACGGTCCCCAATAAGTGTCATGCAAATCACATTATGTCTGTGGTAAGTAGAAAAGTTTCTTTTTTAAAGTTTCCTTTCTTAAACCTATGGTTATAAGTGTGCTAACAACTTTGTTAAGCCCCATCCCGTGTAGCTGTTAGACATGCCGTGCTTACAGGCACATAGTACATTCTATTTCCTTGTACTCTGACCAAGATATCTGTGCTAGACGTGCTCACAGCCATGCCCCAGCTCGCCATTGCTTTTACGTGTTTAGAAAAGTTTTAAGTTGTTAGCCAACAGGTTTTGGTTTAAATTGTGAGGTCTGCCTCCAGCCAATGGAGATCAGACACATCAGTAAAGACGACCCCAAATGCATAAGGGATAAATTTGTGTGTTTTCCTTTGTTCACTGTATTCTCGTGGCATGATGGCTAGTGGGAGTATCCTTCCTGCAGTCCAGGAAATAAAAATTGCGTTGCTGAAAGATCCTTTGTCTCAGTGCTAATTTTTATTTGTGGCACTGAGTGTCTATTTCCAACATGTCTGGGCACCTGCTCTTCAGAGGACCTGAACTAACATAAGCCACAAACCAAAAGATTCACATGTGGGGGAGGGATAACATTCATAAGGGTCATCTTTTTCCAGATGTCTTTTTCTTTCAGTTATATGCTGTGGACACCATGGCCTTATCATCTATAATGCTCCTGCTGTCTCACCCTCTCTGTATTGTAAGCTCAGTAAAGCAAGATCCATGTGTATTTTTCACCACTGCATGTCTCATTTCTGGCATAATCCTAAATACATAGCAGGAGCTCAAAATCATTAAGCCTATTCAAGAACAGTCACTCTACAACAAAACTTACTAAGCATAGTGGCAAAACAATATTATTGACAGGATACTATTATGATAATAAATTCATAATTCTAAAATATAGATAACGATAGCTTAAGAAAAAGCTCCAATGAGTTGTAGCTAAGGTTACTGTTACATAGGCAGGTTCTGTGCCTTAAGCAGAAATCAATGGCAATGCTATGGAGATTTAAGGAGTTGAGGGCAGTCATCGACGCAGGTCGTGTGAAAGCAAGCCCTGCCTTTTCCTTCTTCTCCACCAACCTGTATTAGGGCCACTTTGCCCTCTAATGGGGCTTGTAATTCTCAGTTATTATGGCGTTATCAGTTCCAGTAGGCCACTGTTAAAGAGCTATCTGGGAGGAAAAGAAAGCTTTCTGATCTTCCCACATTATTAGTATGGGCACAAAATTTAAGGACACACTCACTCTCAAGGGTGATTTTGCATGGGCACAAACCTGACAATGCATAATACCTCCTTAAATGTTGTACCCTGGGTACCTCATTAGCCTCTCCCTCGTGCCAGTGCTGCTTGAGGGCATGAGAAAGCTGCAGATTCTGGGTCCCAAACCCCAGAGGTTGGTAAATCATACACTTTAAAATGAGTGTTAATGACAGGCCAGGCGTGGTGGCTCACACCTGTAATCCCAGCACTTTGGGAGGCCGAAGCAGGCAGATCACTTGAGGTCAGGAGATCGAGACCAGCCTGGCCAATATGATGAAACCCTGGCTCTATTAAAAATACAAAAATTAGCCGGGCATGGTGGCGCACGCCTATAATCCCAGCTACTCAGGAGGCTAAGACAGGAGAATCGCTTGAGCCCGGGAGGCGGAGGCTGCAATGAGCCGAGATCGCACCACTGCCCTCCAGCCTGTGTCACACAGTGACAGCTCAAAACTAAATAAATTAATAAAATGAATGTTCATGATAAAGAAGAGAAAATAGCTACTTCACCTCAGACACTTGAAAGAACTTCAAGACAAAGAATGAACATATTCAGTCTGCTAAAGGCATTTATTAAATAACAGTCTAACTACCAGACTGGAGCCATCAAAGGCAGAATATGGAACCCTAACACATTTGCATACAATTTATATTTTGTTTTTGCCTACAAAAGGAGGTACATAAGGAAAAGGGAATCCTTTGGGTAGGAAATCAAGACACAAATCAGGCACTGCGAAAAGAAACACACATAACTTTTCTTTGAATTAAGAGAATTTATACAAATTTGACTACATGAACAAAACAAACTACACATCAATAATTACCATAAGGCTTTATTGTTCCAAAAGTATTTGCCACCAAAAACAAGTTACTGTATAATTCTAATTGTAATAATCATAATTATGCCACAATTAAGATTTATTTTCTACCATTATTATTTTGTTTGTTTGTTTTTGTTTTTGTTTTGATTGTTTTTGAGATGGAGTCTCACTCTGCCGTCCAGGCTGGAGTACAGTGGTGCAATCTCGGCTCACTGCCACCTCTGCCTCCTGGGTTCAAGTGATCCTCCTGCCTCAGCCTCCCAAGTAGCTGGGACTACAAGTATGTGCCAGCACACTCACCTAATTTTTGTTTTTGTTTTTGTTTTTAGTAGAAATGGGGTTTCACCATGTTGGCCAGGCTGGTCTTCAACTCCTGACCTCAGGTGATCCACCCACCTCAGTTTCCCAAAATGCTGAGATTACAGGTGTGAACCACCACACCTGGCCTCTATCTTTATAATTAAATAAAATCTTCTGGGAGTTCATGATCCCTAGAATTATTATTGATTTAAAATTATTCCATTTTTCAAATACTTTTCTTAGAATAAAAAGTAAAATCATTAAGATATGTTAATGTCTGTTATTTAAACATTTTAAGATCACAGGTTAAAAGATTTTGATTGGGACATAAAAATATATATATTTCAGGAATAGTTTTTCCATAGATATAATTAGTAACATTTAAAAATCAGAAAGATGTTTTCCATACTAACTATAAGCTTTTAAAATGTACGGAAGCACATCCTCAAGATGAGAAGGCACTGGGGGATGAAGGACGCCTTGTTTCCTCAGCTCAGATCTTAGCTTTCTGCTTAAAAGACTCCTTCATCTTTTTAACAACAGAAACGTCCCCTGCTCCCTCGGGCCAGTTGTCATGATCTGTGAAGAAAGTGGAAAGGCTCCTGTCACTTGCAAATCTGTTAATCTCATTTGTCCTCTTGGTTCCCACCAAATCCTCTTGTTATTTTCCCTGGTTCACGTTCCCTGGTTCATTTTCTCAGCACCAAAAAAGAAATCCTTAGGGCAAACATTTGAGAAAAGACTTGGATTTGAATCTCAGGTCTGCCACGCATTCACTTTCCTGAATTTGGAGGTATGACTATTCCTGAGCCTCACTCAGTTCTGTCCTCTATTAAAGGATATAACAATGTCTACCTTTTAAAGTTATGAGGGTTAGGCCAGGTGCGGTGGCTCACACCTGTAATCCCAGCACTTTGGGAGGCCAAGGCAGGCAGATCACAAGGTCAGGAGTTCGAGACCAGCCTGGCCAACACGGTGAAACCCCGTCTCTACTAAAAAAAAAAAATACAAAAAAGTTAGCCGGGCATGGCGGCGGGCACCTATAATCCCAGCTACTTGAGAGGTTGAGGCAGGAGAATCACTTGAACCCGGGAGGTGGAGGTTGTGGTAAGCCGAGATCATGCCATTGCACTCCAGCCTGGGTGACAAGAGCAAGACTCCCTTCCAAAAAAAATAAAAAATAAATTAGCCGGTGGTGGCACACGCCTGTAGTCCCAACTACTTGGGAGGCTAAGGCAGAAAAATTGTTTGAACCCAGGAGGCGGAGGTTGTGCCACTGCAAAATCGTGCCACTGCACTCCAGCCTGGGTGACAGAGCAAGACTCTGTCTCAAAAAGAAAAAAAAAAGTTGAGGGTTAAACATGACACCATGTGTGCAGTGCTTGGCATATTTTGGATTGTCAATAGCATCTCCTTCATAGTAACAATTTAAAAATAGTGTCCTTACTTTGTACCAGGCACTGCTAGTTGCCTCTCCAGCATCCAGGCCCCTGTCTCCTCTTTCCAACAGCTTGTTTCTATTTGAGGATCTATGCAATTCCAAGGAAGCTTGGCACCAGGGCACGTGGTCTAAGCTAAGTTAGTCAGTGCACTATAACCCCGCCATGGTTATTGGTTGGATACGGACATTTGCATAAGCTGATCTAATACGGAGTGGATTTCAGAATTTTAGAAAACCTGGAACAAGGTCACTGCCCCCTCCACCCCCACTGCCGACCCCAGTCCATCTGGGTGTGAACACAGAAGTATACAGCCTTACAAATAGAAACAGCAGGTAGCCAACCTGCAATGAGAGCTTGCCTTAAGATAAAGCCAACACCATGGAAACAAAAACAGGAAAAAGGGGCCGGGTGCAGTGGCTCACGCTTGTAATCCTAGCACTTTGGGAGGCCGAGGCGGGTGGATTGCCTGAGCTCAGGAGTTCGAGAGACCAGTCTGGGGAACACAGTAAAACCCCATCTTTCCTAAAAATACAAAAAATTAGCTAGGCATGGTGGCAAGTGCCTATAATCTCAGTTACATGGGAGGCTGAGGCAGGAGAATCGCTTGAACTCAGGAGGCGGAGGTTGCAGTGAGCCGAGATTGCGCCATTGCGCTCCAGCCTGGGTGACAGTGAGACACTGTCTTGGGAAAAAAAAAAAAAAACAGGAAAGGGGAAAAAAACTTTCTTGACGATATCAGTGAGCTGCTCTTCCTTGATAAGTACCAGTCACATCTTACTGTTTTTCAGTTACTTAATATCTCGTCCTTGACAAGATCAGTCAAGCCTTAGCTGTTTTCCAGTTATGTGAGCCAGCAAATTCTTTTACTGATTAGGCCATTTTGAGTTGTGGCTAAAAGCATTGAATTCGACAAAGAAGTTTATTTTTTATTTTTATTTATTTTTTGAAACAGGATCTCGCTCTATCACCCAGGCTGGCATGCCGTGGCACGATCATGGCTCACTGCAGCTTAGACTTCCCAGGCCCCAGTGATCCTCCCATCTAAGCCTCCCAAGTAGCAGGGACTACAGGCACGTGCTACCACACCAGCTAATTTTTTTCATTTTTTTGTTGAGACAGAGTTTTGCCAGGTTGCCCAGGCTGGTCTCAAACTCCTGGGATCAAGCAATTGACCCACCTCAGCCTCCCAAAGCACCAAGATTACAGGCATGAGCCAAGGTGCCCAGCCCCTGACATAAGGCTTTAAATGTGCATTATCTAATTTAATCCTCCCAACAACTCTATGAAATAAATACTATATGTGTCCATGCATATAGGAAAAAAATAGAGGCTCATAGAAATTAACTTTCTATCTATAATAAGGGTAGAGCCAAGTTTCCATCTTAGGCATTCTCACTTTGGAGCTGCCAATCTTAAAGAAAACACCATAATGAAAGGCTGAATACTCCCAGCCATTATTCAGGGGCAGTATATTCTTAAAAGATAGTTGCAGCTGCTTTCCTCAAAAACTTAAAAAAGCATTTTGTAACAATAACAAAAAACAGTGTTAGAATTATAAAAAGAAAATCATGCCGGGCGCGGTGGCTCAAGCCTGTAATCTCAGCACTTTGGGAGGCCGAGGCGGGTGGATCACGAGGTCAAGAGATCGAGACCATCCTGGTCAACATGGTGAAACCCCATCTCTACTAAAGAATACAAAAATTAGCTGGGCATGGTGGCACGAGCCTGTAATCACTGCTACTCGGGAGGCTGAGGCAAGAGAATTGCTTGAACCTGCGAGGCAGAGGTTGCAGTGAGCGGAGGTCGCGCCATTATACTGCAACGTGGGCAACAAGAGGGAAACTCTGTCTCAAAAAAAAAAAAATACTGACTGAATTCTACTGGTGGGGAAAGTGGAAAGATTCTCTCCACCCTCCCTAATTTGAATACTTTCAGAAAATAATACTGCATAACCACGTAGGTATTTCTTCTTACAAACTGAGATTCTGAAAACCACATTGATGTTAGTAATGAAATACATGTGGGAGGGGAAAATGATAAGTAAAATTAAAGTTCTATTCTGTGATATTGTGAAACATACATTTGGTCTTCAGCCCCATTTTCTGCATACACAATCATGTTAATGGTTGACTGATGGCTGGCAGTCCCTAGTTAGCTTCAGTATAGGGGCTGGTCACCAGACAGACTAAGGCATGATTAGAGGGTTGGGACCTTCAGCCCATACCCACCACCCAACTTCTGAGGAGGGAAGAGGGGCTGGAGGTTAAGTCGATCACCAATGGCCAATTGTTTAGTTAACTATGCCTATGTAATGAAGCCTCCATAAAAACCCAAAAGGACTGGGTTCAAGAGCTTCCAGAGAGCTGAGCACATGGAGGTTCCTGGCAGGTGGTGGGGCCCAAAGGGACACAGAAGCCACATGCCCCTTCTCATACGCATTGCCCTGTGCACCTCTTCAGCTGTATCTCCTGTAATATCCTGTACAATAAACCAGTAAATCTAAGTGTTTTCCTGACTTGTGTGAGCTGCTGTAGCAAATTACTCCACCCCAAAGAGGGGGTCATGGGAACCCCAACTTGAAGCTGGTCAGTCAGAAGTTTCGCAGACCCAATTTTATGACTGTGTCCAAAGCAGGGGGCATCTTGTGGAACTGAGGCCTGAGCCTGCCGGACCTGACCCTATCTCCAGTATCAGAACTGAATAAGAGGATGCCCAGCTGGGGTCTGCTGCAGAATCGCTCACTTGCTTGCTTAGCGTTTGGGGGAAGTAACCCCAAACTGGCCACAGAAGTATTCAGTGCTTAATGGTCATTGCATTGTGAGAGCAGAGGAAAGCCAGTTTGAGTTTGTGCTCACCTCTCAGACATACCCATCATTTATTAATGCAAAAAACGTCTTAAGCCTTGATCCAACTGTCACCACCGAAAAGAGTGGGTAGAACCTGGGTCCTTGATATGAAATTCAAACTTGCCTGGGTTACATCAACCACGTGTTAATTTGCTAGTAGCCACTTAATTATCTTTAGCAACAGAAGTTCAAATACATTTGCATTTTATATCCTTTTCTACATTTTTGGAGTGATTTAGAGTTATTAGCTTGGACAAACCTTTAAACTTCTGTGGATTTGTTTTGTTGTTTATAAAACTAGTATACTGGACTTTCTGATCTTTTAGGACCCTTCAGACACCAAAGTTCTGTTGTCTAGTCATGAGATACACACACACACACACACACACACACACACACACACACGACATTTGCATGTAATATCAATATTTGATTGAAACTTATAAAACTTCTGGGTTTTTGTTTTGTTTTGTTTTTTGACACAGAGTCTCACTCTGTCACCTAAGCTGGAATGCAGTGATGCAATCTCGGCTCCCTGCAACCTCCGCCTCCCAGGGTCAATCGATTCACCTGCCTCAGCCTCTTAAGTAGCTGGGACTATGGGCACCCACCACCACGCCTGACTAATATTTTTTTAAACATATTTTTAGTAGAGACAGGGTTTCACCATGTTGGCCAAGCTGGCTTCAAACTCCTGACCTCAAGTGATACACCCACCTTGGCCTCCCAAAGTGCTGGGATTACAAACATGAGCCACCATGCCTGGCCAAACTTCTGTTTCTGTACATCAAAAATGATGAATACAGAAATTTCATATGGTTTCATTCAATATATATCCCAAAGAGAATGCAAAATGGCACTACAGCACCCCACCTCACTCAGCAGGTCTGATTCTTCTGCTCAGATATGTAAGCCACTTATTGGGGGAACAAAATGGAATTAAGTCTTTAAAACTATAGCACAATCTTGCCTTTTTTCTATCTCCTCTTTAGATATATATTCTCATACTGAAAATATTTTTCAGGGTTCAAATTCCACCAACCTATGCACGCACAAAAAGCTAAGTTATTTAATAAAGATAGTTCGATATTTTCTATGACTAGGAATATTTCATTAAAAAATCACATCATGGGCCAGCACAGTGGCTCACGCCTGTAAACCCAGTACTTCGGGAGGCTGAGGTGGGTAGATCATGAGGTCAGGAGATTGAGACCATCCTGGCCAATATGGTGAAACCCCGTCTCTACTAAAATACAAAAAAATTAGCCGGGCATGATGGTTCCCACCTGTAGTCCCAGCTACTCGGGAAGCTGAGGCAGGAGAATCACCTGAATCAAGAGACAGAGATCACATCACTGCGCTCCAGCGTGGCAGCAGAATGAGACTTCGTCTCAAAACAAACAAAAAAATCACTTCATGAATATAAACATTTTGTACATTTTGATGTTCTATAGGAGAACACCCTCATCTCTTAAGTAACTACGTATAATACATTTTAAAGTTGGTGACTGCTCACTCCTCAGCTGCTCACCTGGTAACTCAAACGAATGAGAATAGAGACACTGGCCTCCATCCACATCCACCGACTGTCCAGTGATGAAGGAAGCTGCGGGAGACAGTAGGAAGCAGACCAGAGAGGAGATCTGGAAACAGAAACACACACATGCATATGTAAAAGCAAACACTCCCCATTTCTAACGGCTTCACATTCCCTAGTGAAGACATCTCAAAGCATATGAGCCAGGCGTGGTGGCTCACGCCGGTAATCTCAGCACTTTGGGGGACTGAGGTGAGTGGATCACGAGATCAGGAGATCGAGACCATCCTGGCCAACATGGTGAAACCCCGTCTCTATTTAAAGAAAAAAAAAAAAAGTCAAAGCACATGACCACAACATGAATACAACAGTGTGCACCACAATCACACAGTACATAGACAACTTCCTTTTTCCACAACTTTCCCTTTCTACCTGAGCATCACTGAAATCAGGTAGGTGACTAGGGTCAAGGTAGCAAAGTACGAGGGAGCTTTAGATGGTGTCAAGCAAGCTACATGACGTGAAGAAGCCAAAAGTGGACTCAGTGCTTCAGCTCAGCTCTTTCCCACTTCAAACAGTTCACTTCCTTACATACCTTGCATTGTCCTCCACAACCCCATTTTCCATCACTACCTCATGCCTTTATATTTTGGTTCCTGAAATAGTCAACTGTTTGGCAATAAACTAGCATTCTGGTTTGTTCAGTTTGTGGTCCATTCAGGCTAAAAGCCCAGCAACACACACTCAAAGGAACTCTCTGCAAGAGGAACTTCAAAAACTAGCTGGGTGTAGTGGCAGGTGCCTATGGTCCCAGCTCCTTGGGAGGCTGAAGTGGGAGGATTGCTTGTGCCTGGGAGGCTGCAGTGAGCCGAGATGGCATCACTATATTCCAGCTTGGGTGACAAAGTAAGACCCCATCTCAAAAAAAAAGAAAGGGCACTTCAGACTCCCACTGCACCCCTTAAAAATTCAAATAAGGAACTGATGAGTTCAGCAACAACCACTCCCAGCCCAAACAGAAAGAGGTTATTTCACTGATTATAAAGGAGCTCTCATTTGAGGTTGTGGGAAGAGGCAGAGTTTCTCAAAGGGTGATAATCCAAAACACCTGCATTAGAATCGCTGGGGATGCTTACTCAAACTCCAGACTCCTAGATCCCTTCAGGATCACAGGAATTGTAAGCTCTGGGGTTGGGGGTCCCAGAATCTGCGGTTTAAAAGGCCCTGAGGCAGGCCCAGGCCTAGAGTGAGGCACATAAGGTGCAGAGGGTGCATGATTTAAGGGGTTATTCACTCTCGGCTTTGCACAAGCGAGTGCAAAGTCTTCCCTAAGAGAGTGCATCCTTCAATTTTGTGTCCGTGCCTTGCTTATCTCATCCCGGTCCTGGTCCTACATTTACAAAGCTATCCTGGAGAGCAGCCGAGCCTTCTCTCCATCCTTGTATTCCCAGCAGCTAGTACAGAACTGTACTGTCTAAAACGAGGCCACTAGCCATAGACGCCTACTCTAACATTTGCAATACGGCTGGTCCAAATTGAGATGTGCTGTAAGTGTAGAACACACACTGGATTTTGAAGACCCCGTATGGGAAAAATACTGTGAAATATCTTATTAATCCTGAATGCTCCAAGGGGTAAAGAAAATAATCTCAATTTTTTTATGTTGATTGCATATTGAAATGATGTTGTTTTGGATGTATTAGGCTAAGTCAAACATATTATTAAAACTAATTTTACCTCTTTTTACTTTATGTGGCTCCTGGAAAGCTTAAAATTGCAAATGTGACTATTATTATATTTCTTCCTTTCTTTCTTTCTTTTTTGAGACAGAGTTTCACTCTTGTTGCCCAGGCTGGAATGCAATGGCACAATCTTGGCTCACCACAACCTCTGCCTCCTAGGTTCAAGAAATGCTCCTCCCTCAGCCTCCCAAGTAGCTGGAATGACAGGCATGCGCCTGCTAATTTTTGTGTTTTTAGTAGAGATGGGGTTTCACCATACTGGCTGGGCTGGTCTCAAACTCCTGACCTTGTGATCTACCTGCCTCGGCCTCCCAAAGTGCTGGGATTACAGGCATGAGCCACTGTGCCCAACCAGACTATTATTTTATTTCTATTGGACAGAGCTGGTATAGAATTCACCATTTAAAAGGTCCCACATTGCTGTGAAAGGCAGATTGAACTGAGCCATGGTAACAAGCAACAGAGCTGGTTTTAACCCTGTTAATCCATTAGTAACAACTGACCCAATGAACATGTTTTGTTACAGTCAGCCCAACAAAAAGAGACTCACTCCAATTAGCTCCTTTCTGAAATGCCAGCCAGACAACAACCATCTCACCCAAGTGATCATGACCTCCAACAGTTGCTAAACCACACTCTCTCAAAAACACAAAAATCGGGCCAGATGCAGTGGCTCACGCCTGTAATCCCAGCACTCTGGGAGGCCGAGGCGGGCAGATCACCTAAGGTTAGGAGTTCGAGACCAGCCTGACCAACATAGTGAAACCCCATCTCTACTAAAAATACAAAAATTAGCCGAGCATGGTGGTACATGCCTGTAGTCCCAGCTACTCAGGAGGCTGAGGCAGGAGAATCACTTGAACCTGGGAGGCTCCAAGTGAAAATTAGAATTTTGGAAAACTTGTACCTGCTAGCTTGAGCCTGCTAGCTTCCTAACACTTAAAAGACTTTTCAGAACAGATTGATGGAGACAGTAACAATGTGATCTTTTGATACTGTATAATGAATTGTGTCAACATTTAGAAGATCTGCCTAACAAAGTGAACCAATAACTTCTAAAAGACCAATGTCTGATGGTACAAAACCATATATGGGTGAAAGATCCCATCGAACTGTAATAAGGACTTTTTTTTAAGCGACAGAGTCTTGCTACATTGCCCAAGCTAGGCTCAAGTGATCTTCCTTCCTCATCCTCCCAATTAACTAAGTCAACAAGTACATGAGAAAGATTTTAATGCAAGAGTACAAAATGTTCATTGGCATGGTTTCAGATTCCACATTGCAACGAATCGTTAAGAAACTGCCATTTGTTGAATACCAAAGAAGAAGATCCACAATTATCCAAAAAGGCTATTAAAATGTTCCTTCCTTTTCCAATTTTATATCTTTATGAAGCCAAAATTTTTTAGAGGCTTTTACCAAAACAACGTATTGCGATAGGCTGAATACAGATGCAGAGGTGAGAGTCCAGCTGTGTTCTATTAAGTCATACATTAAAGAGATTTGTAAAAATGTAGAACAAATGTAGAACAGTGGTTTTCAGCTGGGCTCACTGGCTCACACCTGTAATCCCAGCACCTTGGGAGGCTGAGGTGGGTGGATCACCAGAGGTCAGGAGTTAGAGACCCGCCTGACCAACATGGAGAAACCCTGTCTCTACTAAAAATACAAAAATCCGCTGGACGTTGTGGCGCGCACCTGTAGTTCCAGCTATTCAGGAGGCTGAGACAAAAGAATTGCTTGCTCTGAGTCAGAGGTTGCAGTGAGCCAAGATCGTACCACTGCACTCCAGCCTGGGTGACAGAGCAACACTTCATCTCAAAAAACAAAACAAAACAAAAAACAGTGGTTTATGTAGCTATTTTTAATTAAATGTTATTCATGTTAACATGTACTGCTTTATTACTATTTTTAAATGAATTAAACATTTCTTAAATTTTGGTTTTAATTTCTAATACAGCAAATATAGATAACGTAAACCACATAAACAAAGTATTCTCTCTTTTTCTAAGAAGGAGTCTCACTCTGTTACCAAGGTTCAAGTGCAGTGGCGTGATCTCAGTTCACTGCAACCTCCATGTCCTGGGTTCAAGCAATTCTTCTGCCTCAGCCTCCCAAGTAGCTGGGACTACAGGCACGTACCACTACGCCTGGCTAATTTTTGTATTTTTAGTAGAGCCGGGGTTTCGCCATGTTGGCCAGGCTAGTCTTGAATGCCTGGCCTCAGGTGACCCACCCACCTCAACCTCCCAAAGTGCTGAGATTACTGGTATGAGCCACAGCACCCAGCCCTGTAAACAAAGTATTCTATCCAAAATAAAAATTTAATATAATTCCCTTGATTAAAATTCATTAAAAATTACTCTTAGTTTTCAGAATAAAAATCCAAACACCTTGGTTAACATGGCTCATCAAATGTTTGATTTAACAGTATCTTCAAAAATATAACGCAAGTCTGTTTTGGTTCAGGAACTCTGTTTCTAGAAACATATCCCGTCACACAAGAGTACATGATTATATTCATAATGTTCACTGCAGAATTACCCCAAGAACAAAAATATAAATAGAATCCAAATCATAATGGGATTTGATTATATTACAGTATATCCATAACAAGAAAATAACATACAGCAAGATACTGTTTTTGTAAAAAATCAATAAATAGGCCAGGCACGGTAGCTCATGCCTGTTATCCCAGCATTTTGGGAGACCAAGGCAGGCGGATCACCTGAGGTCAGGAGTTCAAGACCAGCCTGACCAACAGGGAGAAACCCGTCTCTACTAAAAATACAAAATTAGTTGGGCGTGGTGGCGAATGCCTGTAATCCCAGCTACTCAGGAGGCTGAGGCAGGAGAATCACTTGAACCCGGAGCCAGAGTTTGTGGTGAGCCGAGATTGTGTCATTGCACTCCAGCATGGGCAACGAGAGTGAAACTCCATCTCAAAAAAAAAAAAAAAAAAAAGTAAATAAATACAAATTTTTCATGCATGCATAGTACATTTCTGGAAAGACATTCATCAAACATAACAAAAGCTAGTTCTAGGAATGAGAATTCTTTTAAAGAGCTTTATGGGTTTGCTTTTATATTTAGCACTTTAATAAATCTGAAAATTATTTTGTATGTGATACAAGATAGGGAGTCTAATTTACTCATAAACAGTGAAATGCCCCAACACTTTGCTGAGTGGTTCATCCTTTCCTTACAGATTGGAATCCTACTTTGACTCCATAAACTCCCACATATGGTTCCAAGGCAAGAATCTGTTCTGTACTACTATTTTTTTGTTTTTCAGTATCAGCACCAGAAGCTTTAAATAAATATAGCTTCATAATATGTAAATATACAGTATGTAAATAAATATAGTTTCATAGTATGTAAATACACAGTATGTAAATAAATATATATTTTTGATAGAATCAGCATGTTAAATTCCCAAAACATATTAAATTTTTTAAATAATTTAGAAAAACCTGACTTTGTAATAAAAGTGGTTCTCCCCATCAAAGAATATTATATGCCACTAGTTATTCTGGTCTTTTGGCTGCTCCTCAGAAAAAGAAATTTTTTTTTCATTTATGAAACTGACACACTGCCTACTGCCCTAAGGAGACAGGTGATTTATTTTTTTCATTTAGTGGTAAGTTTACTACTGGGTATTTTCATTTTTATTACTTGGAAAAGACATCCTTTTCTTATTAAAAAAAAAAATTACATTTCAAGACTGATGCAAGGCCAGGTGCGTTGGCTCACGCCTGTAATCTCAGCACTTTGGGAGGCCAAAGTGGGCAGATCACTTAAGGACAGGAGTTTGAGACCATCCTGGCCAACATGGTGAAACCCTGTCTCTACTAAAAATACAAAAATCAGCTGGACGTGGTAGCACGCACCTGTAATTCCAGCTACTCAGGAGGCTGAGGCAGGAGAATCACTGGAACCAGGGGATGGAGGTTGCAGTGAGCCACTGCACTCCAGCCTGGATGACAGAGAGAGGCTCTGTTAAAAAAAATCATCGCCACCGTCATCATCATCTCAGCACGCTGGGAGGCCAAGATGAGAGTCCAAGGCTTCAGTGGGCTATGATAGTGACACTGTACTCAGCCTGCATAATGGAGTGAGACCGCGTCTCAAGCAAAAAAAAAAAAAAAGACTGCTGCTGCCCATATTTTGGAAAGCTGCTGATTTTACAGACTTCAAGCTTACTGAAATCTCATGTGGAACGTCATACAGCCATACTCATCTGACTTGCTTAGGGTGCTAGGGTCCTGTGTACCAACAAATGCCATGTAATAAAATAACGTAGCTGAAAAAACAATAAAACAAACAAACAAAAAACCCCGCATCTACTCCTGAGTATAGATGGCTGTCAGTAATCAAAGTACAACCAGAATATCCCTGAGAGCCAGAAAGAACAGAGGAAATGGTCTGGTGGCAGTGGGAGAAATAATAAGAAAACATAAAAAGGACACTGAAGGCCAGGCACGGTGGCCACACCTGTAGTCCCAGCACTTTGGGAGGCTGAGGCAGGTGGATCACCTGAGGTCAGGAGTTTGAGACCAGCCTGGCCAACATGGTGAAACCCTGTCTCTACCAAAAATACAAAAATTAGCTAGGTGTGGTGGTGCACAGCTGTAGTCCCAGCTACAAGAGAGGCTAAGGCCGGAGAATCTCTTGAACCTGGGAGACAGAGGTTGCAGTGAGCCAAGATCATGACACTGCACTCCAGCCCGGGCAACAGAGTGAGACTCCATCTCAAAAACAAAAAAAAAAAAAAGAAAGAAAGAAAGAAGAAAAAGGACACTCAATTACAAATTTCAAAGTATAACACACACAGCAATTCTAATCGATGCTAGGAATATACCTTACCTCCTCAGGAACACCAATTCGTTTAGCGGGGATTTTCTGAAAATAACTTTCATATAAGTTTTGCCCCAAAGAACCATAGTTCGCCATAGCAGTGGGGGAATAAATAACTCCCTATATTTAAAAATAAAACAGGGACAAAATAAAGTGCATTACATTAAATGTTAATTGTAAAGATTTCAAGATAGTCTGCCAGCATTTCAAACATTCAGTAGCTTAAGTCAAAAAAACGTTAACGGTGCTGATATTAATTTTTCTCAATGGTGTCAAAGGAGCAAAGGCCCCACTATCCATAAATGGATGATATGAATGATTACTTTGCAAACTCCTCTTCCTCCTGGCCATGCCCCGGATTTTTTCATGAAAGACTTGCTTTCTGAGGGGCATAATTATATAATTTTCTATATGAAAGATAATCATATCTTTATATAAATTATAATTATATAAATGAAAGAGGCACTTAACTGGGAACAATGGACCAGGGGACTCTATTTTATCTTCCACTTGGCATCTCTGCTTTACAAGAGAAGACTGGGCAGTGGCTACGTGAGGCTTAGAAAAATGTAATTATTTTTTGGCTTTTCACCTAGATTGAAATCACAAATAAACCATTTGAATCCAATACCAATAAACTAAAATTGTAATTGTTTAAAAATTTTTAAATGTATCTTTCACTAGCTTTCTGAGGTTAGGAAAATTACTCAAAAACTGTATCCCTGGCCAGGTGCAGTGGTTCATGCCTGCAATCCCAGCACTTTGCGAGGGCAAAGCAGGAGGATGGCTTGAGCCCAGAAGTTTGAGACCAGCCTGGGCAAAACAGAGAGACTGCATGTCTACAAAAATATAAAAAATAATTAGCTGGGCATGGTGGTACATGCCTGTGGTTCCAGCTACTCAGGAGGCTGAGTTAGGAGGATCGCTTGAGCCCAGGAGGTTGAGGCTGGAGGGAGACGTGATCGCACCACTGCACTCCAGCCTGGGCAACAGAGCGAGACCTTGTCTCAAACATTAAAAAACTAAAACAAACAAACAAAAAAACTATGTCTCACAGGATACAGCTATTTGTAATGAATTCAAACTGTTACACAGATTATGGAGAGACGGGGGAAAGATAAGTTAAAATAAAACTAGAAATTCTGGCAGTATTCATTACTTCAAATGATACTGGAGAAAAAATACATTGGTTTCCAATTAAACAATGTGTAGCCTTTTACTTAAAGAGGATAAAATCTAGAAATATTAAAATTTGATCATTAAACCAAAAATGTCTCTGACAAACATGAATTAGTATTAGTAGGAGCGCCTTTATTAGAGATGAGATTACTAACTTCATGCTTGAAGTCAGTCATGCTTAGTCTTCATTGAGTGGTACAGATAACACCTACTGATATTACAGAGATAAGACCGACAGATATATCAAAAAATATTACAGAGTTTCAGATGAAGAAGTGATCACTACCTTAGTAATGACCAAGAAACATCCCAGAAGTGGGATTTGAGTTGAGTTATGCCAGACAAGTGAGGTATTTCATTTCATCTCCCTCTTAGAGTACATGGCCAGTATATAATAACAAAGAAACCTACATTTCTTATTTCACAAAAATGATAGTTTTTGAAGTTGACAACATTGTGAGTTTCCCTCCTATCATTTGTATTATTCAGAGAAGTTTTCCCTTGACTTCTAGTCCATCTTAAACTGGGAGTTCCTTGTTAGAACTCTGACTTTAAGTTTCTCTGTCTTAAAAAAGTTAATGATATGCCAGGAAATAAAATAATCTGGAAAAATTCCCTCAAGTCGCTCTCAACATTTACGCTGCATTTGAATTTTCTAGTCTATTTTAAAAATTTAGATGCCTAGATCCTACGGTTTGGGGTAAAGTTCATACATCACTATTGTTTAGACATTTCACAGATAATTCTAATATATAGCCAGAATTGAGAATCACTGTTTTAATTTAACGTTCTTGACAGCCGGGCGCGGTGGCTCAAGCCTGTAATCCCAGCACTTTGGGAGGCAGAGGCGGGTGGATCACGAGGTCAAGAGATCGAGACCATCCTGGTCAGCACGGTGAAACCCCGTCTCTA